AAGACCCTGAAAGACCACGACACTAAGATTAGGAGAGCCGAAGCAGAGTACCACAGGGGTCAGAGCATTGTTGAAAGATTCAATAAGACCCTGGCCGGGCGCCTCTTTGGGTACCAGTATTGGAAAGAGCTGGAAGATCCTTCCAAACGCAACAGGGAATGGACTCAGGGCTCCCCCAGGTCGTCGCGGCTTTAAATAACGAGGCGGCCAGGGCTACGGGAATGAAACCCAAGGATGCTATAAAAAAGAAACACGTGGAACACAAGTCCTACGTCAGAAGTTCAAGGGCGGTCTTCCCCCAGGAAAAGAGATTAGGCGATGTCACGGTTCGATATCTCTATGAGTCGGGTGAATTAGAAGGAGGATCCAAAAGAGCTACGGATCCTAATTGTTCTTTGGAAACTTACCAGATCCGAAGTGCGATAACTAAGAAGGGCCAGCCCATCTTGTATTATCTTCATGATGGTCCCACGCGTGGGTTCGTCAAAGAAGAACTGCTTATCGTGTGATGTCCAAATGCTATCGTATGGATGCCATCATCACACATCCATCCCTTGCCGTCAAATGCGGACAGTGACACCTTCTCCTGCGTAACATTGTGTATTTGATGTCCGTAGCTGCGTAAGGAGTTCATTTGATGGCGCTGCTCCTTGCGCGTACGTAATACGTTCAAGTAGGACTCGTGGGTGATGTCCTTCTTAACAACGTACTTTTTTACGCCTTTCGCTTTCTTCTCCGCGCCGTCCATTTTGAGAACGCTGTACATTTTGGGTTTCAGACCCACGTACTCCACTATGGGATTGCCGGACATCTCGTCCTTCATCTTCCCTATTACTTTCTTATTCTTCGCGGAGTAAAGGAAGTGTTCCTTTGGGTAGGCGCTGGTGTCGTACTCATCGAGGTCCTCAAGGCAGTCCTGGTAAACGTCTTCCGTCTGCACTTCGAGAATCAAAGAGTCGGTGTCCGTGTATAGAAGGCGGCAGCGGTCTCCGTACTTTGGTTTTAGCTTGTCGTAATAGAACTCGTACATAAGCAGCTTCGACAGATCCAGCACCGTAAACCCCGTGTATACGGGCTTGTTCAGGAATAGGTTCGCCTTCTTCATGTGAATTACGTAGAAGTTAAGCATTTCTACGTAGCGCACGAACCCTGGCTGCGACACGTATGCTTCTGCCTCCTCTCTGGTGCTGGCAATCTTTATGCTGACCCGCTTGCGGATGTTCTCCATTGTCTTCCCAAAGACGGAGTTATTCATTAGTTTGAACATATTCTTTTCAAAGTCGTTTTTCGCTGCGGTGCGCTTCGGGGTGTTGAAGTCGATGTAGGGCTGCATCCACGGCTCCTGTGTGAACTTCAGCACGCGGTGGATCTTCTTCACGCGCATACCATGGCGCACGTAAAACTGCAGGTTGCGGTAATGCACCACGTAYTTCTTTTTATCCATCAGGTTCATCGTCAACTTACGGTATGGTTTGTAATTGGGGCACATTTGTTTTTGTAGTGGGGAAAGCTGTGCAAGTGGTATCTCTATCGCCTCCGGAGCAAGGGGAAACTCATTGTGTGCATCGTGCAGGTGCTCTGGGTACTCTAGGTCCACCTCCAGTACGTAACCCTTATCTGCTTCTTTGTCTACCTGCATGTAGGAGTCTATGGTCTTTATGTCATCCCATTCGACGTCGCGTACAGGTAAGTACTGCGACATTGCCCAACCGTAGAAGTTGTTAGCGTCTAAGTAGAATATGTATGTGGTTGGCTTCTCCGGGTCGTACTCTACTGTGGGATTGTTTGCTTTTGCGTATCGTCTGCTGGGTCCGCAAACGCCGCCGCGGATACCGTCTTCCATAAAGCGATACATATCGTATTCCGTTAGGAGATCCAGGTGCGCGTTTGTCTTCTTTAGCAGCGCACTCCAACTAAGCCCAGGAGCCGTGTAGAAGTTCGCTGGATCCAACCCGTAGTATTCCATTGCCATCTTCCGGAAGCTTTGGAATACGTCGGCAAGCAACACAACGTCTGAACGTAGGTAGATGTCGTGGTAGTCCCCCATTGTTTGGCAGTCGTGCTTTTGCCACACGTCTAAGGCGTGCTGGTACTCCTCGTCCTTTATTCCAGACTCGGTTAGGGTGCTGTAGAAACGATCCTTGGGCGGCAGGGGCTCTTCAAAGCGCTCCCAGGAATCCATGTACTCGTATGGGTACACTCCTTTTCTTTCCGCGACGTATTGGCTGGAAATGGGGAAGTTGGTGTTGTATCTTACCAAGTTTGCTAAGGAGTCCGCCATGAATTGCTGTGAATCTAAGAACTTTAGCTTACCTACGGTTACGGACATGTAGCGCTCCTTGCTGTTTGGTATGCATTTAACATCTGAGCCGTCCGTACCTTGTAGAAGTAAATGGGAGTCGTATCCGCGAAGGTTGTGGAAGAACACGGGAATCTCCATGCCTGGATCTACTCTCGTCCTGCATTTCCAGTGCGCAGCTCCTACGTAGGCACCCGTTAGTGGGCAGTAGTCCAACACTTTATCCATGTAGAAGTCTTCTACAAATCTCTTGTGGCAGTGAATGCGGTGCGTGGATGGTTTTCCTGCTTTCTCTCCTTTCTTTGCGTAAGTACCGCACTTAAAGTGTGCTTCCCCAAGATATTTACCATCCTCATCCCATGCCCTTTTAGCCTGTCGACCGTATTGTAAGAGATCGCGGTTGCATACGTGACAAATCTTAGCTTTCGCATATGCTGCTTGACTTTCTTTGGTAAATGCTACCTTCTTCTTGTGGCGCAATTTGTCTCTGATCACTTCTTCTTCGTCCTGCAGGGCCTCAAGGAACTTGTTTGCTGCGTCCTTGCCTCGGTAGATAACTGGTGGGTCTGCTTTACCATCGTGTCTGACAACTATGTAACCGTATGAGCAAATCTCATGCAACCCTAGCCTTTTCGTGGCACCATTCTTTTGGTCCTCCTTCGTAATTATTGCTTCAAAGTCGGCGTAAATCACGTAAGGTACTTTGGTTTGCCTTCGGTGGTCCTCGTATGAAAATTCCTTTTGCGTGGGCATTTGGATTCGCTGTGCGACTTCTTCTACTCCACGGCATATTTCATCGTGGCTCTTTAATGCTTTTAAGGAAGTAAATGACAGCAGGCAGCAGTCGCAGAAGTACTTCTTACCTTTGTGTTGGTGTGTCTGTAGAATAATCTACTAAGATGCTTAATCCATGAATAGTGCCCACCGTGGTAGAAGAGGTGTATGCGCTCTCCATGCGACTTTGACAACACTAGTGGCACTATYGTTTGATCTCGGACCCCGTAAACGTTAATGGCTAGGTCATTTTCCTCCTCGAATATGGGAATGTCTATTAGCTGCATCGGAAAGTCTACTCCATCCCACTCCAAATCGTCTGTTGGGTACTTACTTGGTCGACATGGGTCCTTATCTACTGGATACAGCGCCGATCGTATTGACCACATAAAGCATCTGTCGTCGTCGTTCTTCACGTTAACTATGGCTTTCTTCCTTTCTATCCATGTTGGTAGTGGTACGTAACTTCCTCCTCGTATTGGTACGTACCTGGCCATGCTAACCTCCATTCCTATGACTTCTTCTACTATCCAACCAGATCCTTTCCTTGTGTAGTTAGCAAGCGACTCCATTATCGCTTCTAAGGCTTCACTGAGTGACCTGTTCACGTTCGTGGACTCCAAAATGACTAACGACTTTGATCGCAGCATTGCTGTCGTCGTCACCTCCTCTTTTGATAGGCTTACCTCCACCATTATACTTGCTTTCAGCGCTCCTAGCTCATCTAAGCCTTTTCGAAGCGTTCTCTTAACCTTCCTTTCTGACTGACGCCAAAACTGTCTAACGTCAATCTCACCGTTACCGGGTATTGACACCGTTTCGAAGTTGCTTTGGGATTCCATCTATATAATAGGAAATATCTTATGCTTCATTCCAGCTCCTTTTTAAATCATCGTAGTCGTACTCACAGTCCTGACAATGCCAAAACAATTTAACCTTAGTCTCAAACTTCTTACCACATCCACAATCATAGCTGCTCATACATTTCGTCTTCAT